TGCATGTCAATGTGGCGCACTTTGGGTCGGAGTTGTCAACTGGAGTTCGGGCGCAAGGTTGGTTGGAAGCAGAATGGTGTCCAAGATTGACGACACTGTGCTCCGGCTTGGTGCCTCACGTGCCGTTCTCAAAATATTTATCGACCATGACGTCCTTGACGTGCCATTTCCGGCTCAAGAACTGGCCACTTGCTTCAGGGATTGCTTGTGGTGACCAATTTGTAAGTGGCCAAACTGGTTTTTGCAATACCCAAGACCTACTCCTGCCACCAACTTCACATGTTCACCAGGACTTCGCCGCGTCCCTTTCTGCAGGTGTGTGTCACCAACTGCACGACAGGGAGCTCAGTAATCATCTCCCGGCAAAAAGAAAGCAGTTTCGACAATCCAAGGGGCTCTCATATCGATATAAAGCCGACCTTCTTCAGAGAAGTTGAACTCTAGCCAGTGAGGCCTATGGACTTGAATGTTGGTGCAATTTTCACTGTTTGTATATAAAAGTTATAATAGATGTATACAGAATTGCAAATGTACAGCACGCTGCCAATGTAGCACAACTAACTTGCTAGCATGATTCTTAAGGGAGGCAAACAGCTGCTAGCTTGTGGTTGGGGCAGTGAAAAGTCCTATGTGACCGCAGCAAAAAGGCTAGCGAGAACGGCCAAGGGCCATTCTCCTCAATGCATCCCACTAGGGCAGCACTTAAGTAGCAGCCACGCATGCAACCACTGACAGGCCTTCCATGAGTCGAAGCATGAACGAACAAATAAAAATTGCACTTCAGCCTGTGCCCTGTGCTCAGCATCCGTGCAACATTGTTCGGCCCTGTACAGAGCAAAGCTCCACAGTTTCAGCGGCACTGGGCGCAAGTACTTGCTGGTGGGAGGGTGTTGTCAATCAGGACCACAAAGCAGGGATTGATCCAAAATGGCAAAGGCAACCGTTTTAAGACATCCACTTGGCACAACCTGTGCATCGTTTCGAATAGCACTTGGATACCAGCCATCTGGCGCATGTCCTGTGACTGACCTGGACTTGGAGAAGACCAGATTGAGTGCAATGTCAAACACTTGAAATAGAAGACTAACATAGCGTTCGTGTGTCTCTCTTTACTTTGATTGAGCACTGAGTCTTGGACCCAAGTGCTCTTTCAGTGTCTGCGAGCAAGTCTGCAGCCTCACATCAACGCCTTTAAAGCTTTTGGAAGACCTGTTGTACTCATTGTACGCCTGTACTCTGCCTGTACTCTGCCACTCCTGAACTCCTTGCTCTGCGCTCTGATGCGCTCTGTCTTGGTTTGGGGCTCCTGGAGTTGGAATCCCACCTGAGCTGAATGGATTACTAGCTTCTTGTTTCTAGCTTCTTGTTACTACAAGTAAGGCACCT